GCAGAGGTGGGGGTGTTAGGAAACAGCAGCTGAGGATCAGGGAACTTGGCAAGGGGTATGTTTTTGGAGGGTGAAGAGATTAGGAGGGATTGAAAATCTAGGTAGAAACAGGAGGCGGGAGGCAGATGTGGGAAAGGTCTGGACCAGGGATATGATAGACAATTTCTAACCTTATAAATAGTACAGAGTCTCAAAAAAGCAACAGCCACAGCTCGTCCTCTATCGTTACTCCCAAGAGCGGACTCTCCCAGTCTCCCCACTACTAGGTTTCTACTCCCCTCCCCATTCCTGGAGCACCTCTCCCCATAGCTGGACAGACCTGGCTGTTGGGTCGCTGGAAGGTCTGCGAAGCTGAGGGCACACTGAAAAGACCTTAGACCCTAAGCTGAAATTGCATGTCTCCCCCCATTTCCTCCGGACATATGGACACCCCCTTCTTCCTCAAGCACGGAAACCTCTGGTGAGACCCCGATAAGGGAGTTGAGTCATGGCTACCCTCACTTTCAGGCTGGTCCTCACTGGACATCCACATGGCTACAAGAGGGTGAGGGAGGAAAGGGAACTGAGCGAGTTGGGGGCGATGATAGCACAGAACCAGGCCCCTGGAAGTATGGGGAGAAGCTATCCAATTCCTGTTCCGGCCTGAGAACTTTGCTCCCCTTTCTATCATGTTTTATGGAACAGCAACAATGCCCCCCCTCCGTGTCCCCCTCCCAGAGAACTCCTCCTCCCTCAAGACATTCCTGAGATACATTCCAGAGGAGTTGGGCAATTGTGGGGGGGGGGGGAATAGAGGACAGGAGGTCAAATCCCAGCAAGGAATGGAATGTAAATGTACTGGGGGTAAGGAATTTGGGGTACATAGAGAATACAGTCAGAGCAGGTACCCACAAAGGGAGCTGCAGAAAGACAGGGAGTTACACAGAGGGACAAAGGGAGAGAGAAAGCTGAAGACAGTCAGAATGTAAGAGGGCTGGGGGAGTAACACTCAGTCTGTTACCAAATTTGGCCTCTGAGTCTGTAACCGCTGAGAGGGAGGGGAGGGTTGTGGGTGAGACTGACATATCCGGCCTCAGGCTGCTGGAGGCTCATTTAGGGCTGGACTGGGCAGCTGAAGGGCTGGACCTGACTTCCCCCAGCACGACCCTTCCCCACCTACATCCAGATCCATGCATATTCTTTCTCCCTAGATGTACCCCAGCCTATGTAGAGAGCTCTTTCCCACAAAGCTACTTACACAGTCTCTACATACACATTATCTCAAACACACAGCCCTACACAGATCCATCACTACCACGTCATCTTCCCATGGACTCCAACCCACACACACAGCTGGGACGTACAAATACACCTCTATCGGCAAGCACACAGCACTCGGCCCCAGCACCTCTCCTCTCATTATACAGACATTCTCCTTCCATCCATCCAGTGAGCATTTTTGAGGGCGTGTTATGGGAAGGCCTTGGGCCAAACTCTCAGTGGCGGGTAAGCCCTAGCCTCTGCCCTCAATGGGCTCCTGGTCAGCAGAGTGGATGAGCTACATACCAAGTTACAGAAGGCAGGATGTGGTAAGAACCAGGTGGTATGTGCTCACAGGAGAGATCCCTTTAGGTCAGGGAAGGGGGACTAAAATGTCTTCACGAAAAGTGTCATTTGAAGTTAGGATTTAAAAAAATAAAGATAATAAAAAATAACAATGATCTATCTTTTATTGACTATATGTCAATTTCTTTGTGTACATAATTTCATTTAATCCTTACAGCAACCCTGCAAGGTAGGTGTCGGTATTTCCATTTTTACAGATTAGGAAACTGAGGCTCAAAGAAGTTAAGCACTTGTTTAAGTATTTAACTTGAACAAGTCACACAGCTAATAAGTCACACAAACGAATAAGTTGTGAAGCCAGGATCCAAACCCAGGTCTCTGACTCCGAAGCCCAAGCTCTCTCCACTATTCCAGCCAGCCAGAGATGAGTCAGGGGTGGCATTCCAGGCAGAGAGAATAGCATAAGCAAAGGTGGAGAAGCAGAAAATCACGGAGGGGCATTCAGGGAAGTGAGGAGGCAGTCTGGTTGAAGCACAGGGTACCTGCAAGTGAGCAGTGATGGGGAAGTCAAGGTTAGGGTGGAAAGGCAGGGGAGAACTCGGCAGGAGTATGCGGAATTTCACCTACCGGAGGGCAACAGGAGGCAAAGGGAGGCTTTGATCAGAGAAGGGGCATATTCAGAACTAAACTTTAGGAAAATAACTCTGGCATCTACCTTGGAGATTGGTTGTAAAGACACTGCATTAGCCCAAGTGGGAGGTAATGAAGCCAGAGTTAGAATGGTGGAGAGGAGGACATCACTCATTACAAATTTTAAGAGGGAGAACTGACAGGAGCTGATGACAGTCTGTCCTCAGGAACCAAGGCCTAAAGTCAGGCTGGGGTCCCATTGCTTCGCGTCATCAGTAGGCACTCAGAGTGGCTGGGAGAGCTTGAGTTTAGGCAAGGAACTGGGAAAGGGGGAAAGAAAGGAGCAGATGGAGCTGAGAATGTGAAGATGAGGCTGCAGTTAGGGGATGTGGTTAGCAGCCAGGTAGGGGCAGAAGGGATGGGGTTAGTGACTCTATCAGGCTGGAAATGGGGAAGACAAAGTGTAAAGAAAGACTGGGAAGATAACAGTAGGAAAAATACATCTATAGTTAGTCACTGGATCAGGCTGGGGGAAGAGGAAGAATAATTATGTGGATGGTGGCTAAGACAGGGAATGATGGAGTGAGGTCAGAGGCCAAGTCAGGCTGCAAGAGGTTGAGAAGAGATGTGGTAAGTGGCTAAATTAGGCTACATTAGTGGGATGGGGGGGAGAGTGAAGGGACGTTGGCAGTGTCTAAGTAAAGATGGAGTTGAGGGGAATGGGATGCAGCCAGTGGCCGGGTCAGGCTGGGTAGGGGATAGTGTTGTGGTCAGTGGCAAGGTCAGGCTGGGAGTGAAATGGGGGTGTGGTCAGTGGCCTGGCTGGGCGTGGGATCAGCAAGATCCAGTTTCCTCTTTGGGTCTCATTTCCTCTTTTCTCTTGGGGCAGTGGGGGAAGGGGATCTATAACTAGACCAAGAAATTAAGGAGGCTTAGAATCAGGGAATGGCACATAGCAGGGACCGTAAAGACCTGGCAGTAGTGTTGGACTGGTGGTGGGGTATTCAGCAGATGACCAGGAGGTATGCACTTGAATGAGTGGGTGAAAATGGTGGGAGAGTGCTTTAAAATGATGGGAAAGCTCAGATTTGCACGAGAGAAGGATGTGCGGATTCAGGGGTGGGAAGGGAGGCAGAATTGACACTGAGAACGGATGGTAAGGTGAACAACACAGGAGCATTAAAGGCAAGGGAAGTATTCTGTAAGTGGGTAGGCCTGAAGGGTGTGAAATGCAGGGCCAGGGAGGAGAGTTGGAGCGGAAGGTTTAATATCCAGGGAATGAGGGAAGACGGAGGCAGTAGGGCTGAACTTTCAGAGGATTAAGCCATCCCCTTCTCCCGTGGGAGCAGTTTCCTTGGTCTGCTTCCCCCTTAATCACCATCCCGTCTCCCCTAGGCAGTCCCCCACTTGTTACTAAGCCTTGTACACCTCCTGAGTCTCTAACCCTTTCCCACCTCCTATCTTTTAAACAGCGTGGTCCAGGAACCCCTGCCCCTCAACTGTGGTGGTCACAGCAAGAGCCCTAGGCTTAGACAGTAGAATGAAGCTGGAATCCCAGAGGCTTGCAATTCTAGCTGAAGCCCAGAACCCTTGCCTGAAATTAGTTTGTCATTTCTCTGGGCCAAAGAAGCCCCTGTGACTACAGAGGCATAAGAGCCCTCCCCGCAAAACAAGGGCATCTACTTACTGCCAATCTCTTAAATTTACCTGCCCGAGGTCAACCACCCTGACCTCAACTACAACACCGAGAACTGCCCGAGATTCCTAACATTAACCCTGACCCTAATTTGTCTCCTGATTCCCAGTACTGGCTTTGACACTCATCCCTGTCTTAGCACACACCTGAATCCAATCCCTGATCCCTAATTTTGATCTAATTTTTACCTTTAGCACCAAATCCCAACCTTAACCCTAAATCTTGACCCCTAAACCTAAAGCTCATTTGTCACTTGATTCCTGATTCACCCCTTCCGTTTATCCCTAATACTGACTATGCCAACCTTCTCTAATCCCTAAAACTGTACTTCTAACCTAGTTCCTGTTGGTGACCCTTAACCTGACCCTGAACTCTAACTTTGACTTATGTTGGCCATCCTAGAAAACAAAATAATGCTCTTAATCCAAACTTCACCTACACAAAACGCACCTGACTCACACTAATAAATCTAAATTTTAACCCCGGTTTTATAACTCCAAAAGCTAACCTTAACTCCTAAACCCAACTCCACCTAATCCGCAACTCACCCAATGTGTTCCTACTCACCCGCTATCAACTAACCTCAAAGCCGATCCCCGCCCTGCGCCACACTGCCACCCACTCCTCACCCTCCCCCAAACTCATCTGCTCCCAGGAAGGGCCTGGCTCCCGAAAAACGGCCTATTTAACTCCGAGCACAAGCGGAGATACACTGGACGCTGATCTCTCCAACAGGACCCGAAACAGACGCAGAAGAGTCAGCGGCCCCGCCCGCCCACCCGCCTCCCGGACCTGGCCTCGCAGCCCCACCCTGAAGCCCCAGCTCGCCCGGTCCTCCCTACCTGCGCTGCCCGGCTCTGTGCCCCGCCCGCTGGTCCGCTAACCCTCTCGTTCTCCGGGTGGCTCTCAGGCTCCGGCCTCGCCCTCTCTTCGACACTCTCTCGGCCACTTCCGTCCCGGGAACGTCCCCCACCCGCGGGCGGCGCCCTGGGCCCGCGCTCTATGGTCGCGGGGGCTGCAGGAAGCTGCTCTGGCTCCAGCTCTCGATGCTCGAGAGCCCGCCGACTACCGGCAGCCCCTCCCCGGCAGGAAGCGAGGGTGCGGCGCAGCCAGAGAAGGCGCCCGAACTGCGCCGGAGTTCCCTTTTAGGCTCTAATCCTTCCTTCTTCTAGCCCGGGGAGAAGGCGAGGGCGGTTCCCCAGAATGCCCGCCCCCAGGGAGTGAGGGGGCGGCAGGCAAGTACCCTCTATTTGCATAGCGCCCGGGACTTGGCGCGCACCGACGCAGCTTCCGCGTCGGGGGGAACTCCAAGTCCCGGAATGCCTCTCGGGTAGGTGCGTCACTTGTGTTGTGTTGGAAGTTGGGGGGAATCGAGTCTGGGAGGCGGGTGCGTTTTCAGAGACCCTGCTAGCACCTAGGAGGAAAACCCCGCTGAGGAACCTATAGGTGGGGTCGACTGACGGTCCGGGTCGCGCGTAGGGTTGGGGATTGGGGCCGGGTGGAGGGGTGAACTCCTGCGTTTCTGCACATCCTTTCCGTAGATGTCTCATATGGAGCTGGCGTTGGACCCGGGTGACCATGACCTGCTGGGCTTCTTGCTAGAGGAAAGCGGAGGTTTGGTGGCGGCGCCCGATGAGGCCTTGGAGGCTCCGCTGGGTTGGGAGCTGCCACTTTATGAGGTGGGTAGGGGTCTGAGTCGGGGAGGCCCGGGGCCGGTTGTGGGGTGTGTCCCTGAGGCAGTGGGAGGTGATAGGTTAAAGCCTGTTAATCTGAACCCTATGCAGGCTCTGAGCAATTGGGACGTAGAGGATTTCCTGAGCTGCCTGCCGAGTCCCCCAGCATCGTTGACCGTTTTCAGCAATTCTAACCCCTGTCTTGTCCACCATGATCACACCTATTCTCTCTCACGGGAGCATGTCTCCATAGATGTGGGTAAGTCTGTAATAAGTGAAGTTTTGGGGGAGGAGAGGACTCACGTGCCTGGCTATTCATACTTTCCCTTTTTCAGATACTGAGAGATATGGAGAAGAGGGGGCTCAGATGACTCCATTGCATGTGGAGGAGCCGGCAGAGCAGGTACTTGACTTGATTTACAGGAGGATTATTCCCCGCATTGCACGGGTTGGGGCAGGATTCCCCATTCGTTTCTGACATCCCTTTGCAACTCTGCTGCCCACCTCTCAGGAACCCCAGGAGATTGCTAGGCTAATACTGACTGAGGAGGAGAAGAGGCTCTTGGAGAAGGAGGGGCTTACCCTGCCTGGGACGCTTCCTCTTACTAAGGTAAGACTCCCATTGGAGGAGGGTTGTGAGTCCCAAGTAGGCCAGTTCTGTTAATTTTATATCAGTAACTTGAAAAAGAACTGAGGTGAGAGATTAGCACATTTGTTGTTACTAGGAAGCTGGGTGCAAGGGCAGATGGTGGTTTTGCAGGGCTTGTACAAAGTTTGGTGTTTTTTTTAAGTAAAAATTCAGAATTATCAGGGTAATATTAGTAAAGGGATATGGAAAGTACTGTGCAAGCATGGGTCCCTGACACTTATATTTCACTGGTTTCGCACTAATCTACCTATAGCTGAATAGTAGAATTAAGTATTAGGGTTCATCAAGGCTGGATTGAGTAGTATAACAAGAATAAGTGTAAAATCCCGATTGTCAAGCAGTGAGTGGCGGCCTCACGTGCACAGCATTGTGATACTGTGATGAAATCAATGTTCATTAACAGAAAGGTTAAAAGAATTTTAAGTTCTTAAAAGTACAAGTGGAGGGAATTCCCTGGCAGTCCAGTGGTTAGGACTCTGTGCTTTCACTGCTGAGGGCCAGGGTTCAATCCCTGGTCGGGGAACTAAGATTCCACAAGCTGCGAAAAAAGAAAAGTACAGGTTGAGTCAACAGTGTGATATGGCTACTAACAAAGTGAATGGAGTTTGGAAGCTGTATCGTCGGATACCAGTAAACTAACAGTGTTGCTGCTAGAAGGGCAGTAACCGTCTTGCTCTCCTTTTTACTGGCCAGAAAGCATCTTAGTGTCCAGTTTTGAGCCCCGATCTTTGACAGATATTAAGAGGATGCAGTCCATCCTGCGAAGAGTAGATAAGATGATGAGTTGTTTTTTGCCCAGTTTTTTTTAAACTCTGAAGAAATGTCAAGTGCTTTTAAATAGCTAAAGACCTTTGTTCTATTACAGCCCCAGAGATCAGGTGCTAGGTAAGTCTAATAGGTAGAAATAATAGAGGCAGATGTTGGCTCACGATAAGGAAGTTTTTTTTTAGTTAATAAAATTGTTACAGTGGCTTGGCTTGTGAGGGCATTAACAACTGGTCCTCAGAGGCACTCAGACAGAAGCAGAGTGCCTGTTGGTCAGGGAAGCTGTAGAAGGAATTTCCACATTGGGAAGATCGAACTCAGTTGCCTTCAAACTCTTTGGTCTAATGTTCCTTGGATGATACCCCTTTTCCTGTCTTCTCTCAGATGGAGGAACAAGTTCTGAAACGAGTGCGGAGGAAGATTCGAAACAAAAAGTCTGCTCAAGAGAGCCGCAGGAAGAAGAAGGTGTATGTGGGGCGTTTAGAGAGCAGGTATAAAAGGGAGTGGAACTCGGGGGTGGAGAGAACAGAGGTAATTGGAAGTGTTAGGTTTTTTAAGGGTGGATACAGGCCATGCCCCCACATCCCTGTTATTCCTCCAGGGTTCTGAAATACACAGCCCAGAATCTGGAGCTACAGAACAAAGTACAGCTCCTGGAGGAGGAGAATCTGTAAGCAACTCTTCGACGTCAGTCCTTTCTCATCCCTCCCATTTAATACTGTCTCAGTCTTTCCCTTGCTCCACACTTGATTTCTAATTAGGCAGCTCCCACGTGTAAGGTCTGGTGCTTGGCCTTTAGTGGGTCTCTGATTCTAAGAAGCTCATAGTAGCAGGGAATAAATTTGCAAGTAACTATGGATAAGTATCAAGAAGGAGAAAGGAGGGAATAAGAAAGACCTCATGTGGCGGATGGCATTTGATAGTAGATAGGATTCTGGGGTGGAGGTGTGGGGAGCATTCTAGGCAGAGAGAACACAGCATAGTCCAGTCTGGCTGGAACCCTAACACGGGTGAGTTGGGCTAGAAGGTAGAGAACGTATAATCCCTAGTGAGGATTGTGTGCAGAGCTGATCAGGCAGTGTAGAACCACTGAAGGGGTTTGCAAAAGGAGTTTAAATCAGGGCAGAGACGTGTGTGTTTGTTTTAGTGAGGTCAGGCATTTTGTTCACAGAGAGGAAGAGATCACTTGCAAAAATAGGTACAAAAGAGAGGATCCAGTGCACAGGTGGAGGAGATGAACTTAACAGGAGGGTTTTGTTGTATGTCAGGGTGCCAGGCCAGGGGCTGCTGTCTGTCCCCTCTCTTCCTCTAGGTCCCTTTTGGATCAGTTGAGGAAACTCCAGGCCATGATGATTCAGACAGCAAACAAAGCCAGCAGCGGCACCTGTGTCTTGGTGAGGATGGTGATGGAAGGAGAGATTCTCTTCTCAGGTGGCACGGATAGGGGTGCAATGCAAAGCCCTTCTTCATCTCTTTTCTCCTGTGCTCTAGGTCCTGCTGTTCTCTTTCTGTCTCCTTTTCGTACCTGTGATGTACTCGTCGGACACAAGGGGGAGTCTGCCAGCTGAGCGTGGAGGTGAGATCCTTGAGGATACCATCAAGGAAGGGCTAGGGGAGAAGCCCAGCCTGCCCTGAACGGCATTTGTCTCCTCAGTGTTGTCCCGCCAGCTTCGTGCCCTCCCCAGCGAGGACCCTCCCCAGCTGGAGCAGCCTGCCCTGCAGTCAGAGGTACCAAAGGACAGCTTGGACCATGAGCTCCAGGCTCTTAGCAATTCTTACTGCCTCTTCTATCACATGCCTCAAGCTCCTAGTGCAGAGCCTCCCCTGAAGTTGCCACTGCCTGACAGTTTCTCAGCGTCCTCCTGCCCAGGTCCCATCTCTCCCCTGCATGCAAATCTCACAAGTGAGGGAGGATGGCTCCCTACCCACAGCTCCACGTCTGTTATCTTGCCGGGCAGATATTCAGGCTAGGTGTGAGGATGTGGGGGCCTCAGTCATGGTCTGCAGCCCCCAGTCTGTGTTCAGAGGAAAAGGGACGGGAGGGGGCTCGCCTCAGGTCCTGGTGCCCTGTCAGGAAGCCTGAGGACTCAAACACACCACACTTACTGGCTTTCTGGGTCTTTTATTTGTACCCATGTATGTCTGTCACCCCATGAATGGGCCTGGGGGAATCAACTGACCTCCTTGAACACTTCATGCAGTGAGGGGATGGGGTGAAGAAAGAAATAAATAAGTGATTCTGATGCATGGGTCACCCTCAACCCCTCTTTACTGGCGCGGTTGGGTGGGGAGAAGGGAGGGCATGATTGTCCTGGTGGCTCAGGGCTGCAGGAGAGTGGGGGTGGGTGTGGAGGAGGAGGAAGGGCCAGGCTGAAGGCTGGGCTGTTAGCGCCTCCTTCCACAGTTCACGAGGCGCACTCTGGGCTTGGGTTTGCCACGGCTTCCTTTGGTCCAAGTTTGGGCCTGGTGCTTAGTCCCGTGTCCTGTTTGGCGATTGGCCCAGGGGCCTTTTTATGCTGCTGCTGCTGCAGGGCCAGCTGCATGGCCCAGATGCTCAGCGGCCGCATGTAGGCCAGCGAGCGGAACACCTGCTGCTGGCAGTACGCCTCAGGCGTCTGGAAGGCCAGGCCCAGGCGCTCCCACACAGTACGGTAGCAGCCTTCAGCTGTCCGGAAGCCCTCCCAAGTCAGGCCCTGTCGGGAGAGATGGCAGTCATATTACTTGGCAACCTCTGAGTAGCTATTTCAGCTGGACAGATGGAGAGAATAGGGTCTGTGCCCTCAGGGAGTTCCCAGCCAGTGGGGGAGATAAACTTGACTCACAGGCAGAAGCCTGAAGACAGGAGATAGAATGCATGCCAGGGAAAAGGGGGAGGCTCTCTGGATGGATAAGATGACATTGAATTAGGCTGTACAGAAGTTTGATGGCTGAGGAAGTTTGCTAGGCCAAGGTACAGATGGCAGAGAGTTGGGGAAGGGAGTGAATTACCTCTTGGATCATGGTGGCTGCCAGCCCGTAGACCACACCCACCCAGACTTCATCAGACTGGACACTGGATCTATCAGGAACACCATGGGGCTGCATTCCATTCACAGCCCCCATGGCCCCTCCTGCAAAGCCCTGGACATTGAATTCAAAGATAGTTTGGAGAGCACGGACCACATGTGGGGTAGGAAATACCTAATGGGGCAAGGGAAGAAACACAGTCTCTTAAACTTGGTTCCCACCTCCAGGAAAAACCCTTACCTTTCTCTCCGGTTCCTCCTCCTAGTCTCTCACCTCACTGTCTCCTTCTCCTAGGCCACTGGCCCTCAGGAACCACTGGCCAGCACACTGGTCAGACATGATGCTATAGGACTGAGGCTGAGAGCTGCAGTCATAGTTGTAATAGCGGCCTGGAGGAGGGGAAGGACAAAGTAAGGCTCCTTGCCTCCCCAGAGCTGCCTTAAGATTCCTTAGGATCCCCCAACTCACCATTCCACAGCAGTCTCTCATAGGCTTCTTGGCCCCGGCTAAGGATGGAAGAAAATTTATCCTGGACCTCCTGTGCCCCACACAGAGCAGCCATCTTGACCATCACAGCCACAGCTGCCAGCCACAGTCCTCCACAGTAAGCACTGATCAGAGACACAGGTTCAGGGAATTAGCCTGGCAGCTCTAGCCACTCCCATGTAGAAATAATAGGCAGTCACTCGTCCTTAAGCCCACAATCCCTTGATGCTCAGTTCCCCACCTCAGGCCCCTGGAAATCCCTACCCCCCAACCTGGGGCCTGTGGTGACCCATCCATCATAGGTTTGGTCTGCATAGCCTCCATTCTCAATGAGTCCATCTTGGTCCTTGTCAAACTTCATTTCAGACTCCATCACAGCCTAGAGAGGGACCAAGATACTGAAGACCTAGATGCTAAGAAAAGACAACAGTAGCCAGCCGGGCTCTCCCCAAACACCAGGCAGCATGCCCCTGGCATGACCACTGCACATGCATCCCTTACCAGACACACAGGCCACATGTCCCTCAGGAAGCAGTGGTCACCCGTCAGGTAATAGTCCCGATAAACCTGCAGCACAAACTTCAGGTTCAGGTCCTTCCAGTCCGCAGTATCATGGACCACATATGCATTGACCCGGAGCCATGGCTCATCATCTGGGGAGGGGAGAAAACCTGTTTCATCTGCACTGCAGGGTAGGGTAGAGGGTGCAAAAATTGAGGAAGAGAAGCTCACTTGTGGTGGAGGGACTTTTACCTGGATCCCCAACATCATGAGGCACAACGTTCCTCCTTTTCACAGGTGCTATTATCCCACTCATCAGGTACTGTTGCTGTGCCAGATCCTCCCTGAGAGTGGCCAGAGCTGGGGGAGCAGATACACAAGCGGGGGGCGCGGGGCAGGGAATGGGTAGGCTTGGGGTAGGGCACAGAACTGTGTGTGTATGACTCCAGAGGGGAACCAATAAGCAGGATCCACATTATGTTTGGGTGGAAGAGACAGTGTGAGGGACCACAAAGGTTCAGGGGCGTGGGGAGCTAAGAGGGCAGAAGAGGCACAAAAGGGACCCTCACCCATGTCATACTGCAGGCTGAGCTCGAGTTTGGGCCAGAGCATGACGAGGGCAAAGGAAGCGTAAAAGTGGACATCATATGTGTTGTACATGCGATATTCCTGGCCTGGAGGAATAAGGGAGACACACTGTTGCCAGGATTCCTGCTGCTCCTTCATACTGCCCTGCCTAGCTGCTCCTCTAGCATTGGGGGTGGGGCACTGTCACACTCCATACCTGACACTTAACCCCTCATCCCAACCAGTACCCTGGGATAGGCAAAACCCATCATCCCGCCTGGGGCAGGGCACCAACTGGCCTCATGGATATGGCCTGCCATACTGCGCACACCAGCGGCCCATACCTTCAAGGTAGCCGAATCGACCATACTCTCGTAGGAGGGGGCGGAGCTGACACATGCTCCCCACCGTCTCCTCTCGTAGGCAGTCCTCAGGAACTTCCAGCCATACTGTGCCCCCATCAGCCAGGAAGTATAGTTCATTGAACAGCGCAGATTTGTACCAGGCAGGCAAGGATCTGGGGAGTCAGGAGGAGGGAACAGTCCAGTGAGTGTGGACTTCCCAGGAAAGGACGGATTCTGGGGTTCAGCAGAGTAGGGGTCCCAAGTGAATCCCAGCCCAACTCTGCTGACTTTGGTGGGTGGAGACTGAATCAAGGAGTCCCAGTTGAGGTGTGAGTGCCTGGGAGAAAGGCAAGAGATGGGCCCCATTGGCACCTGTCATCCAATACCGGGCTCTGCCAAGCCGAGATCCTCTCTTCCCAGTCTGCATATCTGCACAGTGCATAGTGGCTAAGGGTGGGTGCTGCATGACCATCTGGGCCAAAGAACCTTGTGTACCGCCTGGGGTGGAGAGAAAGGGGAGGGATGAGAATGTGGGCTCCAGCTCAGAGCCCCAGCACCATGGACCCTGTGCTCTCTCATTCCCATCACCTGTAGTAGACCTGGCCCTTTGCTCCAAACATGATTCTGGGCATGTCCCAAGCCAGTGAGAACTCCAAGCGGCACTGGCCTCGAGGTGGCAGCTTGCCCATAACACACACTGCCCCAGCGAGGCCTACTCCTTTCTGCGAGGGGAGGCTTTGGCCTGAGAGAAGCGCAAGATGAATCAGCACAGGCACCCCCTTCAGCCGCAGGGGTCCCTAACATGGGAATAAAGCCTGCTTGTTACCAGGCCTCCCACCCCTGCTCCCAAGACAGGGACAACCTCTCTTCCCACCACCTCCCTGTCAGATCCCCCATCACCAGCGAGGGAGTCCAGCTGTCCATCCTGAAGTAGATCCTGCCACACCTGCTGCCCAGTGCTGTCAGGGTCAAAGGCTGTGAGGTGGGTTACCATGGTATCTGCCTGTTAAGGGACCAAAGACTCTGTGAGGAGAAACTCCACAGGTACACTGGCTCCTGACTAACTCCCCTGAATATATTCCCGCCTCCAAGTTCCAGAGGCTAGGGTGGTGAGGGTGGGACTCAGGAGGTGAGGAAGTGAAGAGACCATGGTGGCATGGGGGGTGGGCTAGGGCCAGGCTGAGAGTAGGGGTTCAAAGGCTATGGTATGGGGCAGCCTCCTCCATACCGTGAGTCGTGCAGCCAGAGCCATCGTGTAGGGATTTGGAGGGGTTGGATGATGCAGAAGCAGCCCCTGTACAGTCTCCCCATCACGCTCCAGACAGAAGGGCTCATTCCACAACCCCCCTGGGGCATCGTCTTCACCCCCCAGTCCATTCCGCATGGAGAACATGATGGACACGTCCAGGGCTTCATCCCCTTCATTTTCCACATCCCACACAAAGACTCCTACAGGCAGGCTGCTGTCCTGGGAGCAGAAGATCAGACTCAGATGGTCCCAGCGTATCCCTTCTGGCCCCACTCCCCAGGATCAGTCCTTGGCACCGATGATCTGACTCAAATACCCGGCAATATACTCTGTCTTCCACTTGCATCTCCCCATATTGCCTGGCAGGCTGTCTGCCAGGAGACAAGACCAATTGGGCGGTGGTCCTGAGAAACCAGCATGATGTTCACTCTCCACCCCCTCTTGCATAGGTCATGGAACTTCCAGGAGAGACAGATCCTGGGGAAGGGAGAGCAATGGAGGAAACACAGAAGGGGAGCCTCACCTGGTAGTCATGGGGCAAGATGGGTGTGATCTGGCGGCAGGTGAGGGTGACATTTTGGCCAGGAAGCTGATAGACAGTCCAGGCTCGGGGATACAGGGCGTGGTAGAATGCAAAGTACCCACACAGGCCCCAGTTCCAGCTCTGCAGGACACTCGGGCGCTCCACAGACAGGACTTGCTGGTACACAGTCTGCCCTTTCCGGCGCAAACACACTGTGAACTAAACCAAGAAGGTACATGGGCTGGAAAGGGGTAACCCACAGGTACCTCAAACAAGTCTCCCTCTCCTCAGAGTAGCTCCTGCCCTGCCAGAGCCCGCAGTGGCGACCAACGCACCACAGCCTCACTCATCCCCCAGGCCTTTCCCCCAGGCTCGGAGTGACCACCGAGTCGTGCCTCCCCCATCTATCTCCCTTCACTAATGTGGTCTTAGTGCCCTAAGCCAGGCCCTCACCATCTCTGCTTTTACTCTTCTGCCTCTTCTGAAATTTGGATTTCAGACTGATCTTTCTTACAGAGAAATCAAGATATGTTGTTAGTCTGTGTTTATAATGTTTCAGTGACTCCCCGTGGCCCTCAGGCTAAAGTCTAAACTCAACTACCTGGCTTTCAAGGCCCTTCTTGATGTGGCTTCTCCCCGCCCATCAGACTCATTACCTGTTCGAGCCCTTATATTCTGCTCATATCAAATACTGTTCCTTGAGAGCACTACATTTCCTTCTCCACGCCTTTGCTCATGTTCATTCTCCATTTGGTAAAACCCCTCATCCTTCAAGGCATAGGTCAAATGCCATCTCCTCTCCTCAAGCAGTGAGTCATTCTGCTGTGTGTCCCCCTACCCCTCTAGTCTAGCATGTTATAATGTGCTCACATTCTGACTCCCTGACTCCTCTGGAAGGGAGGGCTATGAGGGATTAATATCTCTTCCTTGGTTCAAAGTATGCCTGATATCTTTAATGTATATATGCCTGTTATCTTTAATGTATATATCAAATAATTTTTTTATGTTGTTGGAATAGTAGGTAATGGTTAAGACCACAGGCTTTTAACCGCAGAGAAAACTGGTTCTGAATCCCTGTGCTTCCATTTACCAACCATGTGACCTTGGGCACGTTACTAAATCTCTTTGAATCTTAGTTTCCTCATGTATAAAATGGGCCTAATAATGGTACTTCCCTTGTAGGACTGTCTTTAAATATTAAATATTATACAAAAGAGTCACAAGGCTGGAAGACATTCCCCCGGGATACCTCAGGGATGAGCCACAGAGGAAGCCTGGGCCATTGGGCAAGGCTGGTAAACCTGAACTAGGAAGGGCATTATCATTAACGGGACTCAAGGTCTGCTAGTCATTTCTCCTTTGAAGATAAGCTGAAAGCTGGAGGCCTCCCTCAGACAGGAAATAGGAACTTGGTGGACAACTCAACATGGGAGGGCACTAGAGAGATATGATGAAAGGTAGACCACATGCCTCTGGCAATCAAAGGCCTTCATCACTCCGTGATGAAGGAACACAGGGAAAAGAAGTGAAGCTTCAGAAAAGGGAAGAAGTCTGGAGATCTATGCCTGGGAGACGGGCTTCCCAGGCCCCCAGCCAGAGAGACCTCCAGAGGAGTGACCACCAGCAGAGAAGCTGGCCTCTGGCTGAAGCCTGGCAAATCAGGGCGAGCAGTGGGCGCTCTGTGCATCCTGTCCTCCTGTGCATTTGTAGACTGTTGGTTTGTTTTCCCTTCTGATCTTTCAACCAGGTTAAGTGATCCTGGAATTCTCTGACTCTCTGTGGCTGGGTACTGGCTCAGCTAGTGGAACTGGGGCAGCAAAGTAGGTAGGAGGCATTTACTAGAAAAATGAAGGGCACAGGGGTACCTTTTTTCTTTCAGGGAACGTGTGCTCTGAGTGTCTCGTTCCTATAGGACATCCTAGCACAGGGCTGGGCACACAGAAAGCATCCTGAAAGTACTTACTGGACTGAATCATGTACATCTCTAATTGCCACATCCTACACTAGCAAAGAGACCCTTCCTGGCCTGGGAAGTACTGCTTGGACCTCTCCTCCACCTCCTGGCTCTTACTTGATCAGCAATGACTGTTTGGTGCTGGTACATTCCAGGATTAAGCTGCCAACGACAGAACTGGCCTCTCCAGCCTCGGGTGATAGTGCCTCCCCCAATGCCACCCAAGGGACAACCTAGAGAAAGAATCAGGATGGTTAGTGGGGCATGGGAGAGGAAAACGAGCCCATTTCTCCCTTTCTAGACTATAAAGATGGATTCCTCTAAACACCATGGGGATATCAAATCGACACATTGTACATTTTAAACTTACACAATGTTATATGTTATATCTCAATAAAGCTGGGGAAAAAACCCTAGGGGATGGGTCAGTGCAACTTAAATAAGCTGAAAGCCTCTTTGCCTAGCTCTGCAGTAGGCCTGGACGCTGGGCCCTCTGTGACTGGGGAGAGCTGGAGTGAGGCTCACCATAGATCTGTCTCAGGGGCACAGAGTTGATGAGGTCGATGAAAGGTGTCTTCTTCTCCACCTGGGTCTTCCGGTACCACCACTGCAAGTACCTAAGGAGCAAGGGGCAGTGTGAGTGGAGGGGTGGCGGGCGGCAGTCACCGGCCTCTCTTTGGACATCCAGCTGTGACTTCCCATTAAATGTCCCGAGGATCCATCGCCTTCACTTCCAAACCTCTCCTACTCTCAACATCTCTACGATTCAAGGTCCTCTCATCTTCCCAGTCACCCCAGGTCACAGTATGGGACTGTCTTTGTTTCTCCTCTCTACTCTCCTTAGAAGGGGCTTTCTGATCTTTTCACACCACTAACTCCAACACCACTGCTTTAATTTACTCCAGGAACTTTCGTCTGAGGTGCTGAAAGGGCCAGTTATGGTTTCCTGATTTATAATCACTCCCACCCCACATACAGGCATAGGCTGCTGCGATAACTTTCTTCTTTTTAAAATGATGATTTTCTTCCTGATTATGAAAGGTGAAAATTTGGAGAATGCACTAGGTGGAAGGTGAAAAAAATCCCACCTATATACAACCAGTGTTTACATTTTGGGGCATTTCCTTTTAAGTCTTTTTCTTTTTTTTTTCCTTTTTCTTTTAAGTTCAGCATTTAAACTGTAAGCTTTCTAATTTTGCTCTCTCATAATATCCCAGTAAAGCGTTCTAAAAACCCCAACATTTTCCTGGTCTTATCACAGCTCTGTATCCAATAGGCAAAAGATTCTGTTTGGGATTCAAGGCTTTGACATCTCTCTCAAGTCTATTTTCTAATCTTCCTTCCTACAAATTCCCATTCAGAGTGGGTCCTCATTAAGCAACCCCTGCCCTGCCAAACTCTCTCCCAATTCCACTCTTCCCCCTCACCAGCTAGTTTATACACATTATTCAAGCACACCACTTGTAACCATGTAATTGGGTAACCCCGCTGAGGCTTAGTTTCCTCATCTACAAAATGGGGATACCTATTGCCCTTCCTACCTCAAGGAATGGTTGGAAGGGCAAATGGCACAGTAGATAGGAAAGCCACAAAGTGGAATATCTGTGCATACACTGTCTCAACTCCCAATCAGACACTGTCCTGTTATTTTAGTGTTCCTCATGTGAGTCTGACATACTTTTAAGTTTCTTGGGGAAAGGGACAGTGACAAAGACTAGTTGATTATTACCCACAGCTTCAAGCACAGGGCAGGGCACATGGTCTGCAGTCAGTAACTATTTGCTGAATTTACAAAGAACGTATGTACAGACAATGGGGCATAAGAGAAATGAACAGGGACAGGAGCAAGGGGAGGGAAAATCTGACTAAAGAACAGGGAGGGTACATTCTGGGGGTGAGAGGAGAGGGAGGGAAGACGAAGGATGGGATGATTGGAAGGCAGATCTTCTTTGCCGGCTTAGAGGAAACTGGACTTTGAAACTGGAGGCCACAAAGGATTGGTGAAGGGAGGGAGGGCACAGCGCGGATTAGGGCAGTGAGGGAGAAATGCAAGATATGAAGATAGGCAGAACAAAGGAGTATCAGGCGCAGAACAAGCACTCAATACATATTTACTGAATGAATGGATTCTGGCTGAAAGGGAGAGCAACCAAAATTGAGTTCTTACCGCTCTAAGGCCAAGAGAACTCTGTCTTGCTGGAGCTCCTAATCACAGTACCTACCCCCAGTTCAGCTCCCTCTCAGAGCCCACCTTTCTCTCACTCCACTTAGCTGCTGGCCATTCCTGACCTATTTGGCCTTTTCCATAATTTCAGCCCCCACTTAAGAATAATCATTCAGAATTCTTCCTTGTCTCACCCCTGCTTTCTCCTCAATGCAGGACCTCATCTCATTCCAAAACCCCTGTGTCAGTGATCCCCACCCTGTCCTGGGATGCAGAGCCAAGTCCAGGGGGCTGAGCACAGCTTCAGGCCTCTGTGATTCGGCTCATACTTAGGGACTGGGGGGTAGGATGCCTACAGATGGGTTCTTGACCTCCACGTCCCCACCACATGCACCCCAATGTGCTGCTCTCAGTACCCCAGCCCTAGATCCTATTTTGACCCAAAGCCTTTTGGGGTCAAAACTAGGCCGGGTCAATTTCAGAAGCAGCCTGGAGGGATTATTTTTGTCTGGTACAGGCCACCCAGGGGAGCTGGCAAAGGAGTCAGATACCCAGGCAGCCACAGGCCCTTCCCACTGCCTAGGGCTTGGGTTAGGTACACGGGCTCCCCACCCCAGCCCCAGAGCACTGACTGTGGAAGAGAAGGAGCCCCTATTTAAGAGGTTGCCAGGCCTGGGTTTCCCGAACTTTAAGCCTCCCTCCCCAGCTCTGTGTTTACTGTGTGGACTGACTCAGGATGACCTCTGGGTGATGCTTTCTGTTCTCACATCCACCTGCTCCTGTTAATAGGTCTTGGCCCCATCACTAGTCTTTGAACTCAGTGGGGATCTAGAGGGATCTGGAGGAGTTCTACAGCCCAGGATAAGCTCTTGGAGTGTCTGCCACCCTTGTGTGGGGGGAGACCAGGAAATGCTCTGGAAGATTATTACTAAGCTCTGGGGACACCTAAGGCAGTGCCTCTCTGGTCAAAGGTCTTTGCTTTTTATATAACGGGCCGTCTATTCCGGAATAGAGTGAACAGCACCTCTTATCGCTCTCTCCTTATGGTTGAGAGCAGGAAGGCTCTCACCCTTTCCCTGGAGCCAAAGCTTGAGGAAAGAAGCTGATGGGTGTTGGGACTATTAAATGCTGTGCCTAAAAAAGGTTCAATGAATACTCCAGCTGCTCAGGAGAATCTGGGGCTGAGAATCCCGCCCCCTCCCCAGAAAACAACATTGTATCAGTACCACAGCTGCCAGAGTATCCCTTCCTACCTTGTCACAAAGTATAGCTAATCCCAAAGAGCAATCTCTGGAAAAGAGGGTGTATGTGAGAGGGAGCCTAAATGACTACAAGGCCCAAATGCTCCTGCTCTTTCTTGCTAAAAAGACAAGTTACTGGAAGGAAGGGGGTTGCAAAGAGATGTGACCTGGTCTCACCCTCCAAAACCATGGGCTTAAGAATTACGTTGGGAATGGGGGCCACCTGACTAGGACAAGGTATCCACCTATTTCTCACCCTTTCCTGCCGCTGCTGGAACAAAGTGAGGTATAATAAGGTAGTCTAGGCAATGGGATCTACTCACCTCAAGCCCATGCCCAAATGCTTCATTAGGTTGCTTAGCGAGACATTGTTGGCATTAAAGGGTTTCCTCTTCTCTGCAAACTCGTGAGCCAGGCAGATGCGCCAGCCAAAGGGAGGCACCTGGTAGCCCTTGGCTTTACCCTCATAGGAAGCCATCAGCTGCCCAAAGTCCTGCGGATTGCTGTAGCCCTGCTCATTCTGGGGTTGACTGTCTTCAGGGTTCTGGCAGTCTGTAACCTGCACAGCCTCAGTGCCTCCAGTATTTTCAGGGCAGTAAGCATGTGGACCCCCTTTGGCACAGCTCGTCTGTTCCGAGGCTGGGACTCCGGTTCTCATATTCCCTGGATTCTGGGTCCCCACGACCTCAGTGGTCTCGGTTCCCGAGCTTTCTGGTACAAATTATCTGGCCAGCCAAGCCCAGATGTGGGCGCGGATTGTTGTTAGGTGTTCTCTCGGAGGGCCGGCCTCTGGGGAAAGCTGAGGTGAGCTAGTGTCTCCGTGGAGCCGGGGAGCTGTTGCTGCTGCTGCGGTGGCGGCGACAGCAATAAAGCCGCCACGGTCTCCCCCTCGGTCCTCTCTCTGGGTCCTGGGCGGGAAGGATCGGGCCTCGACGTCATTGGGCCGCGGTGATTAGCTGGCCCTGCCAAAGGGCGACTGGGCCCGCGGCGAGGGGAGGAGCCCTCGGGACCAGCCCGCCAGGCACCGCCCCCGGGGCCGGCCTGGGAGCTCGCGGCAGCCCCGGCCCACTCTCTGGGCCGTGGCACCAGGCCCCCCCCAGGGGTGGGCGCCGGATCCCGCCGGCCAGTATCCGGGACGGCGTTCGCACCCGGGTGCCAGCCCGTGGGAAGGTGATCCAGGGCGGCGGGACCACTCGAGCCCCTTCCGGCCCTGCCGGCCGGGCGCTTCCGGCCGGAAGGGGCTCCGAGGGGGAAGAGGTGGGGGGGGGGCGAGGGAAGTCCCGCCTCTGCCGCGGCCGCAGCCACGCACTAGGTCCCGGCCCGGTGGGGCGGGCGACCGAGGGCCTCGGTGCACCGAGCCCCCAGTTTCGACCGTGCGAGGTGTCCGGGCTAGGGACGCGAGATGCCGGGCGGCCGTGGCCCTGGGCTGGGACGTGGAACCTCGAGGGAAGGGGGCGGAGGCGGCCTGGGGGTCCCGGCGGGGTAGGGGGAATATTCGGCGCTGAGCGGGACTGGGGGCTGGGATCCAGAGCGAATCCCTCTCTCTCCGCAGTGCCGAGTCAGCTGCCGCCATACCTCCCTTCCGCCTTCCCGCATCCCAAATCTGGGCGCTTCCCTCTGACACCCTGGTGCTGAACGCCCATTCCCCGGGTCCTCACCCCCAGGCTCACCTGAGACACCCCTCCGGGCCGTGGTACTGACCTCTGATACCCCTTGTTTCCTTCTAGATCCGATTCCGGAGCTGCCATGATTGAAGTGGTAGCAGAGCTGAGCAGAGGTCCTGTGTTTCTGGCAGGGGAGACGCTGGAGTGTGTGGTGACCGTCACCAACCCCCTGCCCCCCACGGCCACTTCTGCATCCAGGTGGGGATGCCGGTACCGAAGAAGGTGGTCCTTCTGGGGGGAAGCCTGGTATCTATAGTGCTGAGCCAGAGCTCAGGTTGTCCTGTGACTACAGCACCACCTTCTTGCTCATTGTGCTCTCATTGTAGGAAAGGCTATTTAACATTTAAGATGTGGGTGACATAGCCCTCCACTCTCCTCTCCTCTCTCCTCCCCCACTCCCCCTTTTACCCAGTATACTTCTCTTTGTTTAATGGTTTCTCTTTGGGGTTCTGGATTCTCTGATCCAGAGGACAGCCGCCTCACTGTGTTGGTCATCTCAGTGTGGTAGGAAGTTTGGGGGAGCATTTGTGAGGTCAGGAACTGCCCTCTGATGTCCTCTTTTCCTCCTCCCACAGTGAGGCTCTGGCATGGGCCAGTGCCCAAATCCACTGCCAGTTCCATGCCAGTGAGAGTCGAGTAGCACTGCCTCCCCCTGACTCCAGTCAGCCAGATGTCCAGCCTGAGAGCCAGACTGTCTTTCTACCACACCGAGGTTAGAGATGGGGCATTTGGCCTTGGAGGGGGATGGAATCATTGTTACCCAGGGGTGAAATTGTCAGATTGTTCTGGTGGGTCATTATAGTCTCTGTCGCACTGGGGATGTGGAAGAGTGTAGTTATTGCCTTGGCGGCGTAAAACTGTTCCTATCTCACAACGAGAAAAGAGGAGTGGCTTGGTTTGGGTTGCCCTTTGTTGGCAGTGCTTACTGCCCCCACTTGCTGTGCTAGCCTTCTCCAGTACTAGACAATGGGGTTATTAAGTTGCAGTTTTATCATTTCTAGGTGAGAGGGGTCAGTGTATCCTTTCCACTCCACCAAAAATCCTATTCTGTGACCTGAGGCTAGACCCTGGAGAGTCGAAGTCATGTGAGTGACTGCCCCCTGACCCCTCGATTGCCTTCTAAGGCTCCTGGAGGGAGGACCTCTCTGGCTGCTTCTGGCTGCCCTGACTACTACCTCCCAACCAGACTCCTACAGCGAAGTGCTGCCTATAGAGGGACCACCCTCCTTTCGGGGTCAGTCAGTCAAGTATGTCTACAAACTGACCATTGGCTGCCAGCGTGTCAACTCACCCATCACTTTACTCAGGGTCCCTCTGAGGGTTCTTGTGCTGACTGGTAAGTAAGGGTTCCTGGAGGGAAGGGCTGGAGAAGAGCCTCACCAAAGCAGAAATGATCCTTAGAGGGTTTGTGAGAAGGGCTGGAGGGAAGCTTCCTGGTCTTAGTGAAGGTGTGAGGGGGTTGGGGAGAGAAGGTTCTGGAGCATAGGTGAGATGTGTACCTCAGCCGTGGCGTCCCTTACCTACAGCCCTCTCAGGTTGGAGTCTAAAACCCTACCCACTACTCTTCTCTCTGTTCTCTCCCACCACCTCTCCACTCATTTTCTCTCCAGGCCTTCAAGATGTCCGCTTTCCCCAGGAGGAGGCAGTTGCCCCATCCAGTCCATTCTTGGAAGAGGATGAATGTGGCAAGAAGGACTCATGGCTCGCTGAGCTGGCTGGGGAGCGCCTCATGGCTGCCACATCCTGCCGCAGCCTCCGTGAGAAGCCCTTCACATTGTCCCACCCCATCCTCCCCTCATAGTATTCCTGTCTCAGAGATTGAGCCTCCTAGCTGCCACATTCTCCTGAGGATTCAGTGATACCTCACCCCAGATTCTAAAGGAAAAGCCCCACCTTTTGGCCTCTGGCTTCCAGCCCTAGACATTCCCCAGTGCGGACCCTAGGCTTACTGTGTCCCATTCTCCCCAGATCTGTACAACATCAGTGATGGCCGAGGAAAAGTTGGGACATTTGGCATCTTCAAATCTGTATACAGACTTGGCGAGGACGTGGTGGGGACCTTAAACTTAGGGGAAGGAACTGTAGCTTGTTTGCAGGTGAGAAAGGAGAGGGACTTTGGGGGAACTGGGTCTGAAGGTCTGGGTGGAAAGAGAGGGCCTGCATAAAGAGGGGTGGCAGGTAGAAATGGGCAGTGAGGTCACCCAGGATCCCTCTGGTAAAACAGCGTGAGGTTGGGCTGCCCTCCCACCCGGAGTCAGCGCATCCCAGCGCCTGCCAGCACGCACTTCTCTTCTTGCTCCCAGTTTTCAGTGAGCTTACAGACGGAGGAGCGTGTGCAGCCTGAGTACCAGAGGCGCCGCGGGGCAGGGGGTGCCCCCTCTGTGTCTCATGTCACTCATGCCCGGCACCAGGAGTCCTGCCTACATACAACCAGAACGAGCTTCTCCCTCCCCATCCCTCTCAGCTCCACACCAGGCTTCTGCACAGCCGTTGGTGAGACCCTGACTATTACCGGGGGTGGGGGGGCACGGTAAGATGCTGCGCTTAGGTAGCGTATAATGAATCCTGATTCCTAACACACTCCCAGACATACCCATATCCAGTCTGTGACCCTCAACACTTTCTCAGACCTTCAGCCTGTTTCCTGGGTGCACTGACCCCTAAATTCTTAACAGCTTTGCACATCTTCACTCCCCCTACCCACTGGGACCCTGTGATGCACTGATCTCTGACTCGCCATTGCATTTACTTCAAGCTACGAAGTCTTGACTGTTTCACACTTGGGTTATTAGGTAGTTGATGCCATCATCCTTACTGTCACGGTTCCAGTTTACACACTAGATTTCTTCAGCCAAACTCTCGATCCTAGCTCCCTGACCCACACCTCCCCGCTCTTCCTGAATACAGGTTTGGGGTTTTTTTCTCATTTGCTAACCACATCCTGTCATTGGGTTTTACTCCTGGCTTCTAATGCTTCTACCTTTATCTTTTTTCCCACAGTATCCCTGAAGTGGCGTTTGCATTTTGAATTTGTAACATCCCGAGAACCAGGTTTGGTGCTCCTACCTCCCATGGAACAGCCCGAGCCTGTCACCTGGACAGGGCCTGAGCAAGTGCCCGTGGACACCTTCAGCTGGGACCTCCCTATCAAGGTGCTGCCTACAAGCCCTACCCTGGCCTCATATGCAGCCCCAGGCCCCAGCACCAGCACCATAACCATCTGAAACTGGCCCACGTGGCACTACTTTCCTCAGGATCCTGAGAACTCAGCACCTGGACTCTAGTAGGGCCCATTTTTTCCACCTGGGGTCCAGTGGCACAGATAATGAGAGGCAGGCTTTCAGCTGTAGCATTAATTTATTTATTCAGAATAAATGGGCAGCTTCTAGTGGTTTCCCTGGAAGTGGCAGCAGCAGTGGGCAGTCAGCAAAAGGGCGGTCGGTTGAGTTTAGCTGGAGTGGGGAGCAGGAGCCGCAGGAATAGGGGTGTTAGCTGAGCCCCACTCTGGGTCGGGCCCTCCCCCTTTGCAGGGCAGCCGGGGGTCAGATTTTTGCACCAGGGAGAACTGGCACGTTCCTGCCTCCTGACGTACCTCACACCCAGCGGGGAAGTCGATAGGATGTTGGGACCTGGGGAACCAAAGGACGGGGAAGCAGTCAGGACAGTGAAGGTCCACCTTTATCCCTGCCTCGCGTCCCCCCTCCCAGCATTCCTCCCATATCTTCCCCCAGTGCCCCTGTCCCCCCTAACCGAGCTCTTGCCTGCCATATACGGATTTTTTTTGTTTCATAGCAGGAATATTTTCCCTCCAGATCCCCCCCAGCTCCCCTTACTTTGTAGCCTGAAGCCTTCTCTCTCACATTTTTGTTGGTACCTTCAGGTTCGGCCAGCTTCATACTGCTACTTTGCTCATTCTCACACCACAGCAATCTAGTCATGCCCTGGCCATCTCTCGGTCACTCACATCAGAGCCATTCTCTCTGGCCCTCAGTGGTCACTCACGTGTCACAGCAGCCCACACCGACGGGATGCAGGCAGGTGCAGTGGAAACAGTCCTTGCGGAGCCAAGACTCGCCCAGGGTGAAATATTTCCCTTCATGGTGGCAGGGCGCTAGGGAAGAGCAGGAAATGTTAGTGTGCTGGAGCGCAGGGAGTAAGTGCTGCCGCCCCCGCGTTTACCCTCTCCTGTTTCCCAGCTCGGGGTCTGGGTCTTCTGACACAGGATCACCCCTGAGCCCCCTTCCTCCCAGTGCCCTCTGCTCCTGTCCTTCCCTAATGCCTCACCCAGCTTTACCTTGAGCTTGGAAGTAGCACTTGCTGTGGACTCCTGGGTGCTGGAGGAGCAGAGATATCACCAAGCAGGTGATCCCCCAGCCGCCCAGGGTCCCCTTAGCCTGTCCAGCCCAGAGCATCCATAAGGCCATTCCTGCAGTACGGCCCTTTCAGACCGTTCCTGGCTTCTGTTCAGGCTACTCTGGTCTTGTCTCCTTGGCTTTTCTTTGTTTCTCTCGTCGAGTCTTAGTTTCTGTCTTTCTCCCCTGGGCTCCTGTCTCGCACCATCTCCGTGCCCTCTCACAGGCTTGGGGATGTTTATAAAGTGAGGACCCTGGCCCCCTGCTGAGTAGAGCTGGAAAAGCTGTAACTCTGTTTCCTGAGGTGAGGGCATGAAAACAAGAGGTCTAGCTTTAACAAGCTGTGAGAGCTGATTCATGCCCCACACAGCTAGGGGGAGGGAGGTGGCCATGGAAGGGGCACTGGACTGGGCACTTCCCCAGCAAGGAGGTGGGACGGGTGGGGGCCCCCAGGTGGTCCCCAGAACTCCTCCCTGGCCTGGAGAGGAAGCATTCCACCATCTCCCCCCGTCTCCCCCCGCCCTGTAACACACACACACACACACACACACGCACGCACGCACACACACACACTCTCTCTCTCTCACTCCAGGGGTGTGTACGCTGGGATCCCTGCCTGGACCGGAGGGAGGCATTTCCTGGGGATTGCTAATCCTGTGCCCCAGCCAAACCGAGGAGATGCAGTAGGGTGCGACAGCCAGAGGCTCCAGGAGAGCGAACAGGCACCTGGAGTGGAGAATGTTTCTCTCAGACCCTAGGGCAGGGTCTCCTTGCAGTATCCTAGAGATATGGCTGCCCCTCAGAGATTAGGGCTGGGGGGCAGGTGTCTCTTTTTTACAGGCATCCCAGAGATTATCCATTGTTCATCACCCCTAAACATACTGCAAATAAAGGTTCTCCCCATGTCTGGGGATGGTTCTTTCAAAGAAGAACATCTCTAAATGCCCTAATGGTATGGGTCACTCCAGTTTCACAGAGATACCGCCCTTATCTCCTGTACATTATGGAATGAGAATTCAGGAACTTATCCTCTGACATCCTATTTTGGGTTTCCTGAAGGTTCTGGAGAACCTAAAGATGGGTGATTAAGAGTATAGGTTATAGAGTCAGACTCTGGATATAGATCCTGATTCTACTTAAGAGCTGTGTGACATTGGGCAAGTTAGTTCACCTCTCTAAACCTGTTTCCTTATCTGTAAATTGGGATAGCAATATTAACTCATAGAGTTGTCAAGAGGATGAAATGAGATAATGCATGTAATGCTCCTAGTACTGTCCCTGGCACATAGCCCTCCGAAAAGAGTGACTACTGTGGCTGGTGCTAGACGTTCCTTTCTTTGAATGATGGTGAGCAGCTCTGTGTGCACAGCTGAGAGCTTCTGCTGAGGCTGCTATCTCCTGGCACAGACTTCTGCCCCTTTCACACTTAAGCTTCTTGTCATCCCTACCACCTTCAAAACCTGCCTCCAGCAACATTTTGCTTTTGGTCGGTGTATGCTTGAAATTCTAAATGTTTGCTTTGAGAAACAGTGTTGCTAATAAGCCTACTTTTCCTAGGTCAGTACCCTCACTTCTACCCTGGGAAGAGGTATCCTTTTTCCATCCTTCCAGCTAACTTTAGGACTCCTGCTTTTTCTGGTAAGGATTCTGATCCACTTCTTCCCATCCTCACTCAAGTGAACTCTCAAGTTCTCCTTTCTGACCAGTCTAATGCTGGCCATCTCATTGGTACTAATTGCCCCAATCAAGCTGGATTTCTTTCCCTTTTTCACACTTCAAAGACCCCTGTTCCAGCTATTCTCCTCCTACCCACAGGGCCAATCACTTTGGCATTTATTCTATTTTTCCTTGTAAGTCTCTAGTTCCATTTACCCCAAGACTCCCACTCCCTGCCACCCAGTGGTTCAGATCCAACTACTTCTGGCTGACTTTTCCAGAGGGATACCCTTCCTCTCACCTCCTCACCATTCAGAAACAACTTCGCCAGTCCACCCCAAACTCCCTATCTGTTTTCTTCCAAGAAGACAGCTTAAGTGGCTGGGGATGCGGACTGCAGCGCACCTTCCCCCAGTCAGGTCTGATATCCGTTCCATTTCAGAGGAGCACCAAGAGAAGAAAAGAAAACTCACAGAGGAGCAAGGTGCCTGGATGTAGGCTGGCGTGTGGGAGGCATGGCCTTGGACTGCTCAGGGCTGGAGCAGGTGGATTAGAAGGCCTGACTAATAGAAGGGCCCAGAAGTCTTGTCAGTGGTCAGTAGCTCTGCTGGTGCCTTTGTGGGGCACCAGCTGACACCCTTGATGTTTGGACCATAGACTACCTTCTGCTCCTGCATCCTGGAGCCAAACCAATAGGGGGCGGACCCTAGGGGGGAGCTAGGGAGCTTGAAGGTGGTGGTGGTGGTCATGCTGTAGGCAGGAGGGGCCCGATGGGGATTGGTGTGTGTGAGGTCATGGGACAGGAGAGGTGAGAGTTAACCGCCTGTAATGAAGATGAGGTAGGCATATAGGGGCAGGAGTAGGGGTCTTCTGGAAAGAAAGGCTGGGGCGGAGCCAGGAGCCCTTTCCCAGAAGTTGGGTGGGGGAGAGGGCGGCGGCGGGGAGGTGTTGGTTGAACCTGTTTCTTGCACGCCTGCGGGTGTGCGCGCTCGCGTGTGCATCTGCCTAGCTTCTTGGGGCCAGAGGCCACGCTTGTGGTTGCCGCGTGTGTTGGGGGCTGGGGGTTCTGTGGTCAGGGCTCAACTCCGCGATGCCAGTTGGTGGCGGGAGGGGGGGCGCGACGGCTGGCTCTCGGGCCGGGAGGGGGCGGCTGGCGAGCGCTGCCCACGCGGGGACAGAAAAACATCCGCCGGAGGCTCGGCTGGGCGGCGCTCCAACAGCTCCGGGCAGGTGCGCGCGGGGAGGAAGTGAGCGCATTCCGACCCCCCAGCCGCTGGCCCTTCGGTGAGTCACCGCTGACCCCCGCCAGATAGGATAGGAAGGACTGGCAGCGGCGGCGGGGAGGTCTGGGGGCCGGAGCCCCAAGGGGCAGCTGGGCTGGCGTGGGGAGCCGGGGGAGGGTCGTAGAAGCGCCCGAAAGAGTTGTGGGGAGGGCCCCGAGGGGTCCGGGTCTGGGTTTCGCCCAGGCTCGAAGCACCTGACAGACACCCACCGACCCGCAGAGCTTGTGACTGCCCGGGGAGGCGGGCGAGTCCCCGGGGGAACACTGGAGCTGAGGGAGAGGGGCCCCGGGGCAACACCGAGAGAGTCGGGGAGGAGAGACCCGGAAAGGGCCGGGAGAAGTGCATGGCTGCGGAGCGACAGCGCGGTTGGCTGGAGTGCTGGATAGGCCTGGGCCAGCCAGAGCCTTAGATGTAAGGAGACTTCCACCCAGGCGGGAAGGGGGAAATGGCCACCCCCCCCCCAGAGATCAGGTCTGTCCAGAGGCCGGTGCGCTCCGAGAGTGAGAGGTAGGTTAGGGAGTAGCGGGAGTTAGGGCTCTTTGGGTACAGTTGTGGCGAGGTCACTAAAGGCTTTGAATGCCGAGATGAGGAATTCGGATTGGCCTCGCAGGCAGAATCGATGGTCTCTAAGCAGTAGTGAGGAGCTTAAACGCAAGGTTATCTGTGTCTAGCACTACTGCCGCCTTCAGTCTTTGCCAAAGGATTAGGCATTGATCCTCTAATTTTTATAGTCATTTAAAATTGCATGACTACATTTATCAAACGAGTTAAGTAATTTCGTTGAATTTTTAAAAGAGAAACGTTGAAGAATCTGATTCAGTATTTGATTTAAAACCCAAAAGTGAGGCTACGAAGATTAGTTACACGGCATCGAGTCCTTTCCTTTGTCTTGCTTTTGTGCCATTTTCCCCTCACTGATGCGTGGGAGTTCTTGTGTTGTTAATGCTTCACTTCTATGTCAGTAGCATAGCAGTTCTAGTTTTCCTCTCCCTCATCTTACGGTCTTTACTTTTAACGTTAACTTTTGTCTGTGCAGCCCTTTAACTTGCACTATGTATCCTAAATCCAGTAAAACATTTCATTGGGCTATATAGTATAGTAAGATAAGTAACCCAGCTTTACCATATATGTTAGGTTACTTATTATCGTCTGTGGACATGTATGTAACTATAAAGTTTCTATATTTACCCTGTGGCTGATAGAGAGATACAGCTAAAGTTGTTATTCAGGATAGTATTTCTATAAACAGAGCAATTTATTAGTCTTATTTATGTTCTAAAATCAACTCTACAGTGTCAGAAACTGACATTAATTCTATCATGATCTTTTAAATTGATGTTATCTTGGGCCAAAGGCAATTGCAAAGATTAGGATTGTTATAATTTATTTTCAAGATCCTTAAATTCCAGTTGCCTTTGGCCCCAAGCAAGAAAATCTGGGTCAGTTAATTTTTTAGAAAGAATATAGTCTCCCACTCTGGGCCCTGTTGTTTTCTCCTGTGCTGTTTCAGCCCCAGCCCTACCTTATTCCTAGTGGCCTTTGCCTTCATTCCTTCTTTGCTCTGCTGGGCATCTTTAGAGGAAAACTTCACACCAATTTCCTCTACCATAAATTCTCTCCCTCCCTTCAACTCTACACTTCTCTTTGCCAACATACACCACTGCTTCTTCATTGATCTTGTTTCTTTTAAGCCTACAGCCCTTTCTGGCTCTTTTCCATCTTAAACTCTCTTATGTTGAAATCTCTTTTTCTTCCTTTCTCTTTGGTAAGACCTCGGATTTTTAAAAGGTTAGGCTTTATTTATTCTGCATGATCCACTTCTGTCTTCCTTCCTCTTCTATCACTTTTTTCTTATTCTGGACTCTTTGTACACTCTATTATGCTTTCTGTCAGCAAGGCTTCAACCTTCTCCTTGTGATTAAACATTCTTCCTCTATATACAGCACAAGATGCTTATGCTTCCATTCTGTTTCCTACAAGAAAAAAAAGTCATCAAATTCACATCTACTTCAGTCTCGTCTTCCAACATTTTGCATCCAGAGTCATGACGTGGCTATTATTGTAAAGTCCATTGAGTGACCACTTAAGCTTGGTGTCGTGCTAGGCACTGTAATAGTGCATTTCATAATCCTGGTGCCAGATTCCTAAATGCTTACCAATAATGGATGTTATCACATGTGTGTGCATGAATGTTCTCACATATGTATACACACCAAAGTACACAGATAATAGAACCATAAGTCAGTAAATGACTAGGAATATGTATATTCAGTATATTACATTATAATCAAGCCAAATACATTTTGGGGTGGAAGATGAGGATGAGTAAATTCATAGCTAGGATAGGAGGTTAAGAGACAGTATCCTTTGGCATTCTGTATTCAGACGAGAAGGAGAGGAGAGAGCCTTGCCTGTGGAGATCAAGAGACTGTTTGAAGGTGGCTGAGTTTCAGGAGTTGAGAGAGATGACTTGTAAGGCTGTGGTGAATGGCAGGAGGATGGGATGAAGGGGGCAGAGTCCCAAGAACAGACAGTTGCTGTACCCAAACAGCTCATATTCTCTCTGGCTAGAGAATATAAAAGATTCTTGGGTTGTGGTACTGGTTTCAACTATAGTCAAGTTTCTCTTGATAACCTGTATTGAAGTTTTCCGGCCTTGTCTCTGCACCATTAGAACCATTTTTACCAATTTTTTCTTTTTAATTTTTTTCTGCTTATAAATCGGTACATAAATGATAGCCCCACCACTAATAATTAACCCCCAGCTAACCATCAGTAATTTTGACTAAGTTATTTATCTACTTATATGCTTTGATTTTGCCTGCCTGCCCCACAGTCTACTTGTAGTAGTAGTGACTTTTAAAATGCCGTTTATGACTCTCACTTTTATCTCATTTGTAAATTGCTCTTTTCTTAAAATTGTAGACTCAAAACTAGATACTGAGAAGGCATCTAGTTCTTTGTTATCTCTGAAATATGACCAAGGAGGTCTTTGCTTAACTGTCTCTACTGAATGCAATGGGTTACTGCCACCTGTGGTGAAGGTGGCCCATTTTATTGTCATCTAGCTTTAGGTACTAGAGGTTGTTCAGCTAAACCTGCCTTGCTATAGCATCTCATTTTTTCCCCGTAGTTCTGCTCCTTGAAACATATGGGAAAAGTCTACTTGTTTTTCAATGTGGCAGCTCTTTAAAGATTTGAAAGGGTTTGTATTTTGTTAGCTATTTATCTAAGCTTTTTTCTTTACTCCAACACTGTTCAATAGAACTTACTATGATGATGGAAATGTTCTCTACCTGTCCTGTCTCAACAGCCGCTAGCCGCATGTGGCTGTTGAGCACTTGAAGTGTGGCTAGCGCGACTGAGGAATGGAATTTTAAATTTTAGTTAACTTAAATTTAAATAGCTGGAGGAGGTGAGCGAGTCTTGTGTTAGCAGAGCTGTAAACTCCGGGAGTTAGTACACTGTCACATGGCTGTCTTTTGGCTGCTCCAGAAATCTTATGGTCACCTCAGACCTGGTAAAAACATATGTAACTGGGCTCTTGATCTGTCTGGAGGCCAGTCTTACATGTTGTCACAACTAGAAAAAAAACACAAATCCAACCCTCAAAGCCCTGATGAGTAATGTCAGTTTTTGTTGGAAGTTTCTTAGAAGGTGTAGAAGATGAAGGCTATATCTCATCTCCCATATCTCAAAAGCAACACTTAAAAAAAAATCCCTCATTTAATCTCTCTCCCTGAGAGTCCCTAAAGTCCCTCTCCCTTCTCTTCCCTTCCTTCTCAGAAACGTCTTTCCCCCTCTTCCTTGAGCCTTCCTCGTCCATGCTCTTTGAGCACACCTCTGCCCCCTGCTCCTTGGAGAAGGGTTCTTGGGTGTGCTCCTCGTCCTCCAGCTCCCCTTAGGGAGAGGTAATTCTTATGCCCTAGGCTTGACCTTCCTGTGGCATAACTGCTGCATTACCCGCATTTTTTCCCTGCAAGTCTTCCTGGTGCTTCAGCTTTGCTTCCGCTCTTGACCCCACGATGCCAACACAAATAGGGAGGCCTCAGGTTACTAGGACGACCAGGGCACAGGAAACCGTAGAGGCTCAGCACTCCCACAGGCATCACAGACTGGCTGTGCCAGCTCGCTTTCTCCTTAGGGACTCAGTCACACTTCCTAATCCCCATCCCTAAATTACCCAGACTGGAGGATACCCAGGCCTAAGCCACAGACCCCTGATTTTGCAGACCTGGTGGTGGAATGTGGAGTGGGTGGGATGAGGAATGGTGAACGAAGCTTTCTTACTAACACTGATATTCCAAGTCACCTTGGTGATAATTAACTTTTGTACCAGTGAGAATTCCATTCCCCTGAGAGCTGATGAGAGTATAAGCTTTATTTATGTTATTTATACTTGCTACATTGCACCTTGAGTCTTGGATCTTTTTGGATCCCTGAGTAGATGTTTTCACAATTTGCTTTGGGTTAAAAGATTTAGCAATCTACTTCTGATACACTGGTACCAGTTAATGTTTAGTAAGAAAATAATGGTTACCAGATAATGAATTTAGGTTCTATTTACACTTTATTATAAAGCTAGTCATTTGTTTCAAGGAAGACCATCTGATTTGATTAAGTCTTTAAAGCTGTGAATAAGTGCAGATCTACTTGTACTTAGATGCTCAGAGAATGTTGAATTGATCCAAAACTGGAGCAGGCCACTTCTGTGGAACATTCCTGGTAGGCCAGAGCAAGAGAGAATAAGGGGGGATAAGGTAGACTTGAGAGCTCTCCTCAAACAATTGCAGGACTGTCTTGTGGAAGAGGGGTTAGATTTACTTGGTTTAGCTTCACAAGGTGGAATAAGGACCTTTATTTCAGATGGCAGTAATGGCGGACAAATTTTGACTTAATAAGGAAGAACAGTTGAATAGTTAGAGGACCTCAAATTGGAATGAGCTGAATTGTTAGGCAATGAATTATTTGTGACTGTATTGTTTATATAGAGGTCAGATTACCATTTGCAGAAGCATTGGATGAGATTTTGGACATTTAATTGGATTTGACCTGTAAAGAGAAACAGGCAGATTTATCAGAAGTCAATTCACCTTTTCTAATATGATTCTGTGGCACCTATTGTGGTCAGTACGATTTTCCGAGACACTTCTGCCAAGTTTACCCACGTGAGTCATTAGATTTGGTAGTAGAGTGTTTAGAGACTTCTCTAATGCTGTGCACTAGTCTTCCGTTGATTCCTCAGGAATGCCTCCGAGGTGGCTGAGAGGTGAATGAAGGAGAGCTGGGGCTCTGAGCCCTTTACCTGTGCAGGGAGCGGGGGTTCTGCTGGAAAAAAACCCCAACACTTAAAGGCCCTGATATTCCAGTTTCTTCATCTATTGACAGGGGAAAAGATATGGAGCAGGGACGTGTCTTACCAAATGTCACACAGCTAATAAATTTCAAAGCGGCAATTCAAATCTAACTCTTCTAATTCCAATCATTTGTTTCTTCCACTCTACTAGTCTACCTTATAATTCAGGAAAAGTTTCTCTCCATTTTTCTGACCACCGCAGTAATCCAGAATTTTATTTCTTCAGATCTACTCTTCTCTGTTAGCCACTGAACTAGTCTCCCTGCTGTCCAATCTCTACTTCTTGTCTATATTATCTTCACTGTCGCCAAGTTACTCTTCATGAAACATTGTCTTCATCATGAGATTTCCCTGCTCAAGAACCTTTATGTTGCCTGTGAGAACTTTACAGCCTGGCACATAGTTAGCATTCCTTAGGATCCTTGTTCAGCCAGCCGAACTTGAGCCCGTTCTCTTATGGGCTGTGTAATAGTGAGATTAATCAAGTCCCACCCTACTGCTAGACTCCAACTTTGGTAGAATTTTTATGTACATTTTTAATCAGGGATGATGATAAGATACAAAAGAAATAGAAGATCACAGCTAATAAAAAGCAAGTTGTATAACAATACGTATAATATAATCCAATTTATATGACACATGCATTTTTTAGAAACAAAAATGAGATATATAGAAACTGGAAAAAAACACACCAAACTGGTGACAGACATTAACTCTGATGAGGGGGATTAAGAAAAGTTGGGAAGTAGGGGAGGAAGGTGGGAACTTAAAATATGTATTTCTCCACTGAGGAAAGCCTCACAGAGTGGAAGGGAAACCTAAGGGACCATGGCTTGGAACTGACAAGAGAAAGAACTGCTTAGTTGTCTTGCCTGGCTCCACTGCAAGCCATTTCTTTGCCTCTTGCATCACTCTGAAAGAAATAAAAGTCGCATGAGATGATTTGATTGGTCAAGCTTAAGTCATGGCCCATCTGTGGCCCTATCAAGATATAGAGAGAAAGGATCTGGGGGAAGGACCTCCTAGGGAAGCTCCTTGGTTTCTGTCGAGGGAGGGCAAACATTTGATTTTACTCTCCCAAAAAGGCTGTTCACAGAGCTGGAGAGTCAGTAGCCTGAAAGGACATCAGAGTAGTCTTAGGATGCTGGGGGCTAGAAATGACAAATGTCCACTGACTTCATCACCCCTCCCCCACCTATCTGCATCTGGATCCTAGGCCTGCCTTTTCTTTTGGCTCAACCAAGCCCTCTGGTGTGGTTTGCCTTTCTGTTAGTTTTTTTTTTAAGATGGAAGCGTTTACTTCTCAATTATGTATTGAAGATTTTTTGGCCACGCCGCACAGCATGTGGGATCTTAGTTCCCCGACCAGTGATCGAACCCATGCCCCCCGCTGTGGAAGTCTTAACTTCTGGACTGCTAGGGAAGTCCCTCTGGTGTGGTTTTAACCTTTACTAGAGAATGAGGGGCAGTGAGTTAAGGGGATGGGGCAGAGGAGAAGGGTAAGGTAGGGCAGGTAGAGAGGGCAGTTAGCAGGTTTTACTTTGCTTTCTCCCCTTCCTATGCTTGCACAGAAAGCCTTTTCAGTGACTGACAGTTGAAAAAATGATTATAATAAACATTTGTGAGTCCAGTTACAAATAAAAACCTTATCCCTCTGGCTGTTCTAACAGCCTGCTCCTCTGATGGAGGAGCCATTCTTCCCCTGTGGCATGTAGACTGTGGCCAGGGAGGCATTTCTGTCCCTCTCCCACGTATGTGTCCCTGCCAGCACACACACCAGATGACTGTCTGCCGTATTTGGAAGGTCCAGACCCCAATCAGAGTTATGTGCCAAAAGTATTTTGTTTTCTCACAGGGGGGATTCTTCACTTTTGAAGCATTAACCTTCTGATAAAAAATACCTTTCTTCACCTCTTAATATAGCTTAGGCCTGACTTTTTGAAAATTAGCTTGAGTTAATCACAAGAGGGTGTGCAAATTTACTCTCTAACTTCTGTGAACTGGAAAGCAAATTCCCTGACCGAACTCTGTTTCTGCTGGTTAGAGAATCCATTCCTCTGGTATGTTTCAGAAGGCTGATGGACCAGGGATAATCTTATACCACAATGGACTGATTAACCTCTGTAAAGACTTATTGGCCAGCTACCATTAATAACAAAAAAAGACTTAAATAGCTCCTTAACTGTTGCAGAATAATTATTTTTTCAACTTTATTGAAATAACAAGATGATGCACACATTTTATTTATTTTTTAAAATTTTTTTAAAATTTTATTTTATTTTTGGGTGCGTTGGGTCTCCGTTGCTGCACGCGGGCTTTCTCTAGTTGTGGCGAGCAGGGGCTACTCTTTGTTGTGGTGCGCGGGCTTCTCATTGCAGTGGCTTCTTTTGTTGTGAAGCACGGGCTCTAGGTGCATGGGCTTCAGTAGTTGTGACACATAGGCTCAATAGTTGTAGCTCACGGGCTCTAGAGCACAGGCTCAGTAGTTGTGGCGCACGGGCTTAGTTGCTCCGCGGCATGTGGGATCTTCCTGGACCAGGGCTCGAACCTGTGTCTCCTGCATTGGCAGGTGGATTCTCAACCACTGCGCCACCAGGGAAGTCCAATGCACACATTTTAAATGTGTAATCACTGAGTTTTGACAGATTTTTACACCCATGTAATCATCTCTGCAGTCAATATGTAGAACATTTCTCTCACCCTCCCCAAATTCTCCTGTTGCCCATTGCAGTCAGTCTCTCCCCACCCCACCTCAGACATCCACTGATCAGATTTCACTGTAGATGTTTTGCCTACTGTAGAGCTTCGTGTAAATGGAATCATATGGTATGTATCCTGTGTATGGCTTCTTTAATTCAGCATTATGTTTTTTCTATCCATCCATGGTTTTGTGTATACCAATAGTTCATCCCTTTATTGCTGAGTAGTATTTCATTGTTGGATATACCACAATTAGTTTATCCATTCACCTGGTGATGGGCATTTAAGTTATTTTCCACTTCGAGCTGTGAACGTTCACATACAAGTCTTTGAGGATATGCACACATGTTTCTTGGATAAATACCTTGGAGTGAAATCTTAGGTCCTGTGTTAATTGAGTGTTTTTAACTTGTTAAAGAAAAAACTGCCAAACTTTTCCAAAGTGGCTGTTCAATTTTACATTTACCAGCATTGTATGAAAATTCCAGTGTTCTGCATCTCCATCAGTACTTGGTATCGTCAGTGAAAAAAAAATCATTCTAGTAGCTGTGTAGTGGTATCTCATCGTGGTTTTAGTTTGCATTTTCTCAAAGACTAATGATACTGAACATCTTTTCATGTGCTCAGTTGCCACCTGTATCTTATATCTGGTGAAGTATTTTTAAATCTTTTGCACATTTAAAGAATTAGAATGTTTGGCTTCTTGTTATTGCATTGTAAGAGTTCTTTATATATTCTTGTTATTATAAAGGTTTTAAAATATTCTGGATACAAGTCCTTTGTGAGTATATGAATTGAAAATATTTCCTCACATTCAGTGGCTTGCCTTTTTATTTTCTCTACGGTGTCTTTGGAAGAGCAGAAGTATTAAATTTTGGTGAAGTGTAATTTCTTACTTTTTTCTTGTCTAGTTAGTCCTTTTTGTGCTCTGCATAAGAAGTCAAAGTCACAAAGATTTTCTCTTGTGTTTTCCTCTATATCCAGAAGTTTTATAGTTTTGACTTTCACATTTAGGTCTGTTTATGTTTATGATCCATTTTGGTCACTTCCTTAACTTTGTCCTCACTGCACAACAGATGCAGTAGGAAAGGGGGAATCTAAAATAAAGATGATTACCTCTCTCAAAAGAAGATATATTGTAGAACAAAATATTAAACTTTTCTTCTGTATATTGTTGTCTTCATCTAATACTATGTATTAACTATTCATTAGTAAAATATGTATCATCAGCTACTGTGAGTCAGGCACTGGAGATACAGCAATGAACACACTGGACACTGTCCTTGCTCTGTGGAGTTTACATGTTAATGGGAGAGGTTGGGTTTTAGTGAGCATCCATTGTATGCATGGCAAAGTCAAGAAGATGTCACTGCCTCTATCTGTGATTCCTCAATTGAAGGAAGTATTTCAGATCCTTGGCAATCTGCTTAATCTTATTGTATGATAGAGCAGGAACCTCCTTCCACAAAGGGTCACTAATCTGTAGAGAAAAGGGATCTTGGGCTGCATACAGCCGGCTATAATGCAGCAGGGGAAGTGGTGTAGCAGTACAGGATGGAAAATGGTAGTAAATGGTCTCATGCTCCTGTTACTGCTGAGGTATAGTGACTGGACTTAATGCTCTCTTCCTTGGTTTAAGCTAAGCGTTTTGTTTTTGTCTCTAATCCTGTTTTTGATGTCTTTTTGCCAAAAAGAGTTCACTGATTGTATCTTCAGAGAACTCTTCGATCTCTTTCCTGATAGCCAGAATGCCAGATATCTTCTATAACTAACCATTCGTATGTTCTTTAAAACCAGTCATAATTTATTTGTGTTAAATATACCACCATTGTTCAAGCCACCTCAAGTATAAGTGCCATTTACTATTAACATTTATAAACTAGTACTAATATTAGATAACCAGATAATAAGTGGTGTTAATTCAGAGTAGGATGAGATCACTGTGGCCCACTTGACCTTTAAAGAAGAAATAAAGCTTGAACTAGTCCTGAAAGTTAAGTAGGATTTTGGTTGATAATAAAGAGGGTGGATTAAATAAGGAGGGTGGATTAATTTGGATTAATGGACTTGAGGAAAAAGAGATTAAGGACCAGCACATACACCATTCATGGTATAACTCCCCTGTAATCTAGCCATAGCAAATGTCATTAGTCCATCGTGGCACTCATTCTTACTGAGCCTGGACACAGCCCGGTAAGACTAGAACTAGATAATAGGGGAAAAAAATGTAGACATTAAATGGAGAGATATTTTGAAAGAGGTATCAGTGAAAATGTCTGACCCTGGAGGTTAAGATGTGGGGCATCTCCCATGTGCAACCGGGAAGCCCTTGGTACAGACACTGTGAAGGGTTTCTGTTGCATCTGTGCTGAAAATACAAGCATCTGAGGGGTGTGATAGGCATCACAACCAGGCTCAGAAAGATAGTGCCAGGGGACTTCCCTGGTGGTCTGGTGGTTAAGAACCTGCCTTTCAATGCAGAGTACGTGGGTTCGATACCTGGTCGGGGAACTAAGATTCCCACATGCCGTGGGGCAACTAAGCCCGTGCGCCGCAACTACTGAGCCCATGCGCTCTGGAGCTCGTGTGCCACAACTAGAGAGCTCACGCGCTGCAACTTCTGAGCCCGCGCACTCTGGAGCCCAAGCGCAAGTAGAGAAGCCTGCACGCTGCAATGAAAGATCCCATGTGCGGCAACTAAGACCCGACACAGCCAAAAAAATAAATAATAATAAGAAGAAAGATGGTGCCGGGGAAGACAGTGCAATTTAGTTTGCTGGAGGGGGCCATTCAGGCCGTTTCTAGGCTGGGAGAGACCCTAGAGTTTTACCAGCCAGCAGAATAAGCAGCAAGCAGGGGCAAAGGAACATTGCTCTGGAGATCTAGGAAGCCAGAGGACCACCAGCTCAAGGAGTTCAGCTTTCTCCTGCTGCTACAAAGTCCCCTTCCCCTCGTACATCCAGATCCATCTCCAGCTAGAGAAGCAGGGGAGAGGTGGCTATGTGAGAGACTGAGCAAGTTTTATTCAAGAGAGTCTGAGCAGTACCTTAAAGACTGTTTAAATGATCAGACCTGACTACATTAGACTGGTTCAGGGACTTCTGAAGGATGTGGTGTCAGCAACTGTGAAGATGTACAAAACCTTTATGTGAGTAGAAGGTGTCAGTCAGCTCATCTACCACCTTTGACGAGGTAAGGCAGGAGTGAATGAGGAATGATGCAGGCCTGTGCACATGTTTCCAAGAGGGGCTAATTGGGCCCATCTGAGGTAGGTTAGGATGGATGCTCAGTGCACTCAGATTCAGGGGGACTGCTTACCCATGTGTACCTGCCTTAGCACCACCAATGTCCCAGCACTGGCTGGACCCATGGCCAAGGAAGAACCATGTGACTGGAACACATCCACTACACCTGGCCCGGTCAAACCTGTGAAGACAGATTCCTGTGATCTGCTGTTTCCATTGGCATCTACCTTTTATCTGACCTCACTCATCCTGAGGAGACCATTTTTTGGGGAGTCATCCAAATTTCTTGGATTTTGTCATTTACTCATTTTCTCATTTATTCTAATATTAGTTGAGTCTGTTATGCCATACACTGTGCTAGGCACTGAGGATACAGTATTTTGTAGCGGTAAGGAAATAAACACAAATAACTATAATGAAGTTTGAGCAATATTAAGTTTGAAAAATATTACTAAGAAAGTACAGAACATTATTGGAATACACATTTTGGGGGGACCTCGTCTACAAAGGAAGTAGTGATGTTTACGCTGTGACCTTTAGAATGATATTGAGGTGATCAGGTGAAAGGTGGGAAGAATGTTTCAGGCAGAGGGAACAGTATGTGCAAAGGTGACAGATATGAAAGGAATGAAAGAAGTTCAGTGTATCTGGAGCCTAGAGGGGGAGGGGAGGGATGTGATGTGAGATGAGGCTGAAGAGATAGGCAGGGACCAAATCATTGAGCACCATGAAATCCATAATAAGGTGTTTGTAGTTCATCCTACTATGGAGGCCATTCAAGTGTTTCTATGCAGAGGAATGACGTTGCCAGCACTGCATTATGGCTGTTCTATCGACAGAAGACTGGAGAGGATCAACACTAGATGCTGGGAGACCACTTAAGGGGCTGTTGCATTGGTCCAGATGAAAGACGATGGTGGTTTGGACTCCATAGGGTAGAGGCAGTGGAGAAGTGGATGGCCTTGAGGGCATATTTTGGAGGTATTTCCAGCAAGACATGGATGTGGAGAGTAAGGGAGATGGAGAATTCAAGGATGACTCAGGTTTTTGGCTTGAGCATGTGGGTGGATGGTGGGTCATTTACTGAGTAAGAGAACAATGGGGTGGGAAGATATTTGGGGGGAAAATCACGTGTCAGGTTTTGGACACAGGAGTTCGAAGTGCTTGCAAGGCCATCAAGTGAAGAGATCCAGTAGGCAATTGGATATATTAGTTTAGAGCTGACAGAAATGGACTGGTGATTCATTCTTGGCCTGTAGAAATGGTCATTGGAGTTATGCGTATAG